GTATCCATATAGCTAGTTCTCCCTGTATTCCATGTGATCTAACTAGTGCACCATGAGGAACTTTGTTGAATCCTGTACTGAAGTCCATGTAGATCACATCCGCTGCTCTACCCTCTTCAATCTTGTTTGTTACTTCAAAAAACTCAATCAAGTTAGTAAGACACGATTTCCCATGCACAAAGCAACTAATCAGTCCCTGCCTTTCCAAATACGTGTACGTCCTCTCCCTCAAGATTCCCTCCAATAATTTGCCCACCACCAATGTCAGGCTCACTAGTCTATAGTTCCCTGGCTTTTCCTTACCAACTTTCTTAAATAGTAGCACAAAATTAGCTAACCTCCAGTCTTCTGGCACCTCACCTGTAGCTATTGATGATACAAATGGAAAGATTTCTTTGCCACAAAAAGTAGTCAAGACCAAAACATTGAATATTTTCAAGAAGCAGTTAATATCTTTCTGAGAACTAAAGGGCTGAAACAGCATGGGGAGAAAGCAGGAACGGGGCACTGAGCTGGATGATCAGCCATGATCATATTGAATGGCAGAACAGGCTTGAAGAGCTGAATGGCCTACTCATCCTATTGTCTATGTTTCTGTACTTCAGGTGAGCTTACTGTTCCAGGAAATATGGAAAATAGGTGTAAGCATTTGTCTTACCTGGTTTGTGCATCTCTTGACGTTGGAACTATAAGCATAGTAAGATTACTTTCAGCTGAAGTAGCTAGAATGTTTTCTGTTTAAATAACAACCTTGTTTGAATAGCAATTTAAAAAAAAAAGTCAAGTGTACTTCATTTGAATGATGACAAAACTAGTTTATTTTGGACATTCAGATGCAAAATTTGCTTTTATAAGACGATGGGACAAGTGCAAGATTAAGTTTCACTTCCTTACCAAGGAACACAATTTTGAACATTTTTCATTGGGATTGAAGATTTGAGGGCTAGCCTAACAACCCCTCACAATTTGGAAGAATTTCATGCAAAGGTAAATATGGGCGGAATGGTCAAACCAATCAAACAATGAGAGATAATCACTAAGGTGTAAGAAGAAACACTTTACGTGTTTAGAATATGAAAGTCCCTATAAGCAAGTTCATACAGTATCTTAGGGTATTAGAAAGCTACTTGAAAAAGGAGGCATGCTAAGGGTAGAGCTCAAGCAAGCTGTAGAGGGGAATTGAGTTCCACACATTGAAAATTGCCAAGAACAGTGGGTGTAATATTCTTCAGAACCATCAGTGACTTGCTTGTACTGCCCATATTGGAGTTTTAAGTGGATGCAACTTGAAAAAAATAAATGTTTTAGGATTCACTAAGACCCCAGTTGGACAATGTGCTTTTGAGGTTCTCCTAAAGGTCTCCTTATTTACATTATCCATACTTATGGACCACCATCCATACCTAGTACGTACTAATAACCATTGACAAATATAGCTCTGCTTCCATGGCTAAGATATAGAAACATAATCTGTTATTCAGCCTGAGCAGTAGTACCCATTTTGATATTGGCTCTGCTTAAGAGTGGCAAGAAGTCTCTTTCTTAGAATTGGCATTCCCAAAATCTGATGACCAGTTGTTTACCAGTTCACACTGAGGCTATTTTTTCAATCTAAATTAGTATTGGGCAATGGCTGAGGCCATGAGAGAACACACTCTCAGCCCTCACTATTCATCAGATCAGGCAAGCTGACTGTCTCCCATATGTGTGACAAATCAGCATAAGTGTGAATAACAACAGTCTCTAATCTGAGCATATTTACATTGCTGTAGATTTTCATTTCATGTAAATAGAAATTAGTTTCACATACATAGTTTAAAATATATTTGAATGTTTCAAATAATCATTCTTGTCTGAAAATGTCTACTTTTGGTTTTTGGCCTGAATACTTAACAAAAACACCACTTATTACTATAGTAGTAAATCAAAAAGCAAAATATCTACAGTTTCCACTAATCCTGGAGTGTTTTGCAGGGCTGAGCAAAATTAGATGGAGTAAGATCAGTCAGTAGTCCAAGGAGTCCCTTTCTTTCCTTCTTTTTCCTCCACCACCCCCCCCGCCCCCCAACCCCCGCAACTTTGAGTGGTCCAGAGGCGCAAAAAGTTTGCAAATCACTCCTGTAGAATCTTCATTCTTGGCTTGCGAAAGGTACTAACCAGAGTGAGAGGTCGTACCTATACCAAATAAAGATCGGTCACTTCAGGATTGTTCCTACTGTAACAAACCTCCCAGAATTTCACCTGTCCACCATCTTACCCAAAGTTGGATCTGGCCTGGAGTTAGCAGGAAAGGGAATATGATTTTTCAGATGTATCGCTGTTCTGAAACCTGCATTGAAGTATTTGCAGTGTTCCTGAAACGTGTACTATTGAAAACATTAACATGACTACAGTGTGAGGTTATTACAACTCAGATTCTCCAGTGTTAAGGTCTGTGGTGCAGTCAAGTATTTCCTTGATGAAGGTTGAATGACAGCACTTGATAATACATTCACTGGCTGATGTCAGATATTGGTGACCCAATTCTGTAATCATCACTATTTAATTTCTGATTGGAGCCAGAAAACTATAAGTAATTCTTGCGAGTTAGTTAACATGTTTTGAGACACCTAAGGGTACATTTGAAAGTTCTTTATTGCCCTACTGAATTTCAGAATACCACTTTAGAGTTCAGAAGAACAATGGGGCTTATCCTAGAAGATGCATTCAGGTGTGATATCATTACAATGTCTAACTGTTTGCTGTTGAGAAATTTAGTCATTCTGACAATAACTCATTCAATATTTCAGTTACAGAACTTTCTAATTATAATTATGATCTCCATGTGACCTGGTAATATCTCTGAACTTTGAACAATTGCTTTTGCAATTGACTTATTGAAATATACCTTTTAACTGATGCAAGTTATTTGCTGAGAAATAATGTGCCCTCTGGTATTGAGTCAATATTTAATTTTACACATTTGAACTTTTTTTCAATTGAAATGTATTTTGTTTTAAACTGGATCATTAGTTTAATGTTGACTTCTAACTGAACTCAGCTTGATCACCTTTTTAACAATGCTTTTGCAAGACTGACGACAAATATTTTCATAATATTGCATAGTTTATTTCTAGTACAGTACCTGTGACTACAGCAGTGGAAAAAAATTTGCAGTATGATATGCATGAAATAATCAATTGTGCAAGAAGCAGTTATTGTTGTGTAACATTCTGTATACAAAAGGTAATTGTGATATCAAATTCCTTAGGTTCACTTTTTAATCACTTGTGCATAGATTGAGATCATTTATCAGAGCATTAAATTGAGCAACAGCACCAACCTTCCTCCCTTTATTAAGTAGATTTACTGAGTTAGACACAGGCTTTGTTTTAAAAAAATAAATATAGAACTTAAAGTGCCAAAAGAAAATAGAATAAATGAGGTTAGCGATGTTATCATCTCTTATTATATTGAAGTTATTGTTTAAATTGCACAATAAGATTGTAAAACAACTTGTCTTTGTTTTAATTTTGAGGGTTAGGCTACAATAGATATTCCTACAAAGGTGACAGAACCATTTTAAAAGCTACTGCTTTTTGAAGGTTGAAATCAAATACTTCAAAATTTATTTCCTTTGGTTATTGAGAAGAATGCATTACAGAATCTCTCCATATGAAGACAATACATTCAATTTATTAATTGCACTTTTTTCGCTAAAGTTGGTTTGAATCTTGGAGAGTTTCGTAGGTTTTGCTGTCAATTTCGTTCATGACATTGGTTTGTTTTTAGTTTCCCTACAACCTTGAATCATGTATTAAATGTTACTTGATCCTAGCAATAAAAATATTCAGAATTAGGTTAATGTCAATGATAGTGGCTCAATCATTTTCTAAATTGTTATGAGTTTTTTTGTTTTGGCCTCCCAATTTTTTACCCCGATCTCTTGAATATGCAAGCCTACTCAATTAATGGCCATGAGTGGTAGTGTTTCACTCATGATTTGCATTACCTATGTTAGAACACAAAGGTACAACACAGGAACAGGCCCCTCACCCCACTGTCTGTGACCATGATAACATTCTAAATTAATCCTGTCTGTATACATGTGGTCTATATCTCCCACTTACCTGCTATTCATGAGTCTAAATGCCTCTTAAACTTTGGAAAAAGACTTCGACTGTCTACCCTATCCATGCCTCTCCTCATTTTACATACTTCTATCAGGTTGCCCCTCAATCTCTGCCCTTGTGAAAACAATCCAAGTTTGTCCAACCTCCTTATAGCTAATCCACTCCAATCCAGGCAAGGGCCTAGTAAACCTCTCCTGCACAGTCTCCAGAGTCTCCATATCCTCCTTATAATGTTGTGACCATAATTGCACAACATGCTCCAAATGTGACCTAAAGTTTTATACAGCTGCAATGTGACTTGCCAACTTTTATACTCTATGTCCTAACTGTTGAAGATAAGCATGCTGTATGCTGCCTTTACTAATTCACTTATGTTGCTACTTTCAGGGAACTATGGACTTGTGCTCCAAGATCTCTTGTATATTAACTTTAATGTGATTGCTGTCGGACATTCCAACAAGTCTTCCTTGAATCTTTCAGATGGTGCCAAAATTAAAATTAATTCTCAAGCTATCTATCCTTTTGCTTTCTTGATGTCACAAAGCTTGCAATCAGATCTCTGATTTAGAGATTGATACCTGACCAGAGTTAGCATTCCTTGAATTGATTAGGAATTGAAAGTGAATCTCACGGTTCGTACTTCAAACACTCTTCCGAAGAAAACCTGCAATGATGCTTTAAAATGACTTCTACCCAATTGTGTATTTGTACTGCTGGCTGAAAGAATTCCCCAGGAGAGGGGCAGGAATAAATTCTCTCCCTCTCCCTGTCTCTGTCTCAAAGATTATAAAGTTTTTGTTTCTAATTTAACTAATAGTCATGATTTGGTTAGAATGGCTTGGCAAGTTTACACCTTATTTCTTCTGTTTTCTCCCCTCCTTCTGAAAGGTGGTCTTCCACATTTGGATGTAGGCAAGAACAGATTTCCAATACTTTTTTTTTTGGAGACTTGGTGTATGTGACTCGGAGCTCAAGATTTAAGGTTTGTTTCATTATTGTCATTGTCATAGAATTGTACAGTATGGAAACAGATCCTTTGGTCCAACTTGTCTATGCTGACCAGATATACTGAATTTAATCTAGTCCCATTTGCCAGCATTTGATCCATATCCCTCTAAACCCTACCTATTCATATACCCATTCAGATGCCTTTAACAGTTGTAATTGTACCAGCCTCCACCACTGCCTCTGGCAGCTTATTCCGTACACTCGCTGCCTCTGTGAAAAAGTTGCCCCTTGGGTCCCTTTTTTTTTTTTTAAACCTTTCCCCTCTCTCACCTCAAACTTATGCCCACTATTTCTGGAGTTCCCTATTCTGGGAAAGAGACCTTGGCTACTCACCTTATCCATGGTCCTCATGATTTAAAAGACTTCTATAAGGTCACCCCTCAGCCTCTGCTCCAGAGAACATAGTCCCAGCCTATTCAGCCTCTCCCTATAGCTCAAACAATCCATCCTCAGCAACATCCTTAAATCTTTTCTGAACCCTTTTAAGTTTCTCACTTTCTATAGTAGGGAGAACAGAAGTATTCCAAAAGTGGCCTAACCAATGTCCTGTACAGTCACGTGATCTATCATCTCCTATACTCAATGCACTGACCAGTAAAGGCATGACATGGAAGTGCTGCGGTTGGGCTTGGGTGAACAGAGTCAGAAATAACATGACACCAGGTATGGCCCAACAGGTTTATTTGAAAACACAAGCTTTTGGAGCATCAGTCCTCCTTCAGGTGTTAGTGAGAGAGGTAGTTTCAGACACAGAATTTAAGTAAAAGATCAAAGGGTCACACCATTGAGGATATACTAAACAAACCAAAGATGCTGTTTAATCTTTAATCAGTTAGAAGGTTTTCATTGATTCATATGTGTATATTTAAAGGCAAACATACCAAGTGCTTTCTTCACTATCCTGTCTACCTGCAACTCCACTTTGAAGGAACTATGAACCTGTACTCCAAGGTCCCTGTTTGGCAACACTCCTCAGGACCCTGAATTGCCTTTCTGAAATGCAGCACCTCGCTTCTCTAAATTAAACTCCATCTGTCACTCCTCAGCCCGTTGGCCCATCTGATCAAGCTTCCATTGTACCCTTTGGGGTAACCTTGGCTGTCTGCTACATCACTAATTTTGGTGTCATCTGCAAACTTACTAACCATTCACCCTATAAAACATAGGGCCTGTTCCTGTGTGGGACAGTTCTATGGCCCATGATGTGCCGAACATGATGCCAAATTAAACTAATCCCGTCTGCTTGACCTTGATCCACTTCCCTCCATTCCTTGTATATTCATGTGCTTATCTCTAAGTTTCTTAGACACCCCTAGCAGTGTGATCCACCTTCCTGCCACTCTCTGTTTTTCTTAAAAAAAAAAAAAAAAAAAAAAAAAACTTGCCTCTCACATCTCCTTTTTGAACCACCCCCCCCGCCACCCCTTTAAATGCATGCCCTCTAGTTTTAGAAATTTCAATTCTGAGAAGAAGATTCTGACCTATCGATGCATCTCATCATTTTATAGGCTTCAAGTCTCCCATTGGTCTCTGCTGCTCCAGAGAGAACAATCCAAGTTTTTCTAGTCTCCTTATAGTTCAAACCCTCTAATCAAAGCAGCATCCTGGTAAATCACTCCTACACCCTCTCGAAAGCTTCCATATCCTTTCTGTAATGTGGCAACCAGAACTGAATGCAATATTCGCCTAACCAGAGTCTTATAAAGCTGCAATGTCACATCCTGACTCTTGTACTCAGTTCCTTGAACAATAAGGGCAAGCATGACATTTGCCATCTTTAGCACCCTATCTACTTGCGTGGCCACTTTCAGGGAGTTATTGATTTGAATCCAAAGATCTTTCTGTACATCAGTGCTGTTCAGGGTCCTGCAATCAACCAAATAATTTCCTTTAATGTTTGATCTCCCAAGGTGCAGCATCTCATTTAGCCAGATTAAACTCCATCTGCCATTTCTCTGCCCATATCTGCAACTGATCTATATTTCGCTATCATTTGATAACCTCCTACACTAACCACAACTCTTCCAAATCTTTCTTACAAATCTTACTAACCCACCCACTTACATTTTCATACAAATCATTACATTGATCACAAACAGCACAGGTCCCAGTATGGATCGCTGTGGAACGCCACTAGTCACGGACCTCCAGCCTAAAAAGCAACCTTCCACAATACCCTCTGGCTTCTATGGGCAAGCCAATTCTGAATCCACGCAGCCAAGTCGCTGTGGATCCTATGCATCTTAATCTTCTGGATCAGCCTACCATGAGGGACCTTATTGAAAGCCTAACTAAAGTCCATGTAGACCACATCCACTGCTGTACCCTCATCGATCTCCTTTGTCACCTCCTTGAAAAATTCAATTAGGTTAGTAAGACATGATATCCCCTGCAGAAAGCCATGCTGACTGTCTCTAATTAGGCCATGCTTTTCCAAATGCGTGTAAATCCTATCCCTAAGAATTCTCTACAGTAGCTTCCCAACTACTGAGACTCTCTCACTGGTCTGCAGTTTCCTGGATTATCCCTATTTCCCCTCTGGATCAGAGGAACAATGTTAGCTACTTGCCACTCTTTCAGAACCTCTCTGGGACCTACGTTCACATCCAAATCATTTTATATAAAATGATGAAAAGCGGTGACCTCACACTGTTCCATGTGATCCACCACTGATCACAGGCCTCCAGTCCAAAAGGCAACCCTCCATCACCATCCTCTGTGTCCTACTTTCCTTTCAAGCCAATTTTGTAAACAAATGGCTAGCACTCCCTGTATTCCATGTGATCTAACCTTGCTAACCAGTCTACTGTGTGGAACCTTGTTGTACACCTTACTCAAGTCTATTTAAGAACTTTGAAAGAAAGTGTATGAAAAGAACGATAGAGATGATATGAATCACTGATTTACATGTCAACCTTACAGCAAATAAGTGCTGCTTTGTGCAGGACATCTTGCGTTCAGTTTGAAATTTGTCTCCAATGACCAATACTCCTCCAAAACAAAAACAACTTGAGCTAATGCCCTGATATAGGGACATCATGATCTCTTTGCAAATAGTCTGCTTTCATTTTGAAAAGTTTTGTAAACCACATAAACAGCTTCTGCTGTTAGGTTCTGGGATAAAGTCCAATTTTGAAAAAAAGTATCTAGTGTGGTCAGCAAGCTGGCAAGTAACATTTCCAGAATTGTGGCAAGTATTACATGAAACGTTCTGTAGAAACCCTCCAACCAAAGTTGGGAATCCTGTCAAAAGTGTGAAGTAGGAATAGTGGTGTTACAGAAAATTGTCTCCCCAGAAAGATACAGCAGCTTTAAGAAATAGTCTAATTTTCGCACTGTTATTACGGTCTTCTGGTTTATCTGATGAATTCACACAGTACTCTAGTTGTAACCAATAAGTTTTTTTTATATACACTTTACCGTACACTCCCTGCTGTTTGTATCCATTGTCATTAGGGGGAGTTGATGGCCTATTTGTATTGTCACTAGACAATGAATTCTAGGATCAGGGCAAATGGTGGCATATGAATCCAGTAATCTAGAATTAAGGCTAATGACCATGAAACTGTTGTTAGTTTTAAAAATCCAACTGGTTCCCTGTTCTTTAGAGAATGAGATTGGTTTAGCTCAGTTGGTTTGCAATGTAGATGCCTACAGTGTGGGTTCAATTCTCGCATTGGCTGAGGTCACTATGAAGGACTCTCCTTGGTTAATCCAGAACCGGTCATCTCCCTTTAACAAGACAGCAGCCCTACGATCTGGTAAGGCTATGTAATGACTTTACCTTTTAGGGAAGGAAACTGCCACCTGAATCTGATCTGATGTGCTTGGCTCTTAACTGCCCTCCTGAAATGGCCTGGCCTAGCCAGCCGATCAGTTATATTAATCACTGCAAAGGTTCAAAAAAGCAATGGAACTAGACAGACCTCCTGCACTGGAAACAACAGCAAACACAGCCCTGTCAATCCTGCAAAGTCTGCCTTACTAACATTTGGGGGCTAATTGGGAGAACTATGTCTCAGACCAGTCAAGCAATAGCCTGATGTTTTGTCTATGATTTGAAGTATGACTGTCCCAGATAATGCTATCACTAACCCTGGATATGACCTATCCCCCTAAGAGGTGGTATATAGTTGGGAGGGAGTTGTCTTTGTCCTCAAAATTGACTCTAAAACACCATGAAGTCTCATGCGTCAGGTCAGATGTAGGCAACGGAGCCACCTGCTGTCCTCAAGCCCCTCCAGGCTGCTGAATCAATGACCTTCCATGTTGAACACCATTTAGAGGAAGCACAGAAGGTCGCCAGGGCACAGAACATACTCTGGGTGGTGGGAACTTCAATGCCTTTCACCAAGAGCAAAATGGCAGCACCATGACTGATTTAAGCTGGCCAGGTTTTAAATGACAGCTGCTAGACTGGGTCTGCGGCAGGTAGTGGGAACTGACCAGAGGGCAAAACCTGCTTAACCCCATCCTTGTCAATCTGCTGGCTGCAAGTGCATCAGTCCATGACAGTATCAGTAAGAATGACCACTGCACAGAATTTGTGAATGTCTTGATTTTTGAATTAAGGATATTCTCCATGTGCAATGCTATCATTGGGATAGATTTGGTACCTTGAGGCTGGGTATCCATGAGCCACTAGTGGCCACAAGTAACATTAGAACTGTACTGCAACATGCTCTGCACCCACCCCCCAACTTCATCACTAGAGGATCAATCATGGTTCAATGAAAAGTGGTGGAGTTCATGCCAGGTGTGGCACCAGGCATACCTAAAAGAGGTGTCAACCTGTTGAAACTACTGAACAGGATTGCTTGCATACCAAACAGCAAGTGACAGAGCCAAGCAATCCCACAAGCAAAGGATTGGATCCAAGTTCTGCCATATTCAGTTGTGAATGGTGGTGGACAATTAAACAACTGTGTAGGAGGAGGCTCCAGAAAGAGCCCAGTACATCAGTGCAAATGATAA